CTGGAAGGAAGAGAGGGTCCCGGCTGATTGGAACGAATCGATTATAGTGGCAATATGCAAGAAGGGTAGTCGCACAGACTGTTCTAACCACAGAGGTATTAGCCTAACGCCAGTTGTGACAAAATTACTGACCTCGACTATCGTTCGTCGCCTCAATGTGAAACGTGAAGCTTGGATTAGGGAAGAGCAGGCAGGTTTCCGCCCAGAGCGACACTGTATAGACTATATATTCACTTTGCGGCAGGTGCTAGAGCAGCGTCACGCATGCCGCAAACCGACAATAGCTGTGTTCCTTGATTTCAAGAGTGCGTTCGATGCAGTCGATCGACACACTCTGTTAGAATTACTTGCGTGGCAAGATGTTCTCACGAAATATGTGAACATCCTACGTGTTCTATACTCGAACACTACAGGCCGCGTCAGGGTCTACGGTGACCTATCGGATAGGTTTCCGACCACAAGTGGCGTTCGTCAGGGTTGTCCGATTTCCCCATTTTTGTTCAATTTCGTCGTGGATTCTATCATGGAGTGTTCCCTTGCGGAATCTCACGATGTACGCGTTGAAGTGCTGCCTGGTGAAAGATTAGTTTATCTTGATTATGCGGACGATATCGTCTTGCTTTTCGACGATGTTGCGGCGGCCCAATCAACTCTGAATAGCCTGTCCAGAGTGGTCCCATTATTTGGTATGCGTTCTGTACGTTCAAAGCGCAAAGTGTTGCTGCAGGACCACCAGCCACTTTATGACCCCCTGACCCTTGCTAACGAGGGACTCGAGGTAGTTGATCAATTCATTTATCTTGCCAGCTACATCAGCAACGATTAGCACATAGAAACTGACGTCAGCTCACGCATTGCAAAGGCCAGAGCTGCCTTCTTGAACCTGCGGCATCTTTGGCGACAGAAGGGAGTTTCCCTCAGTCTGAAAGGCCGGGTATACAAGGCCACAGTGAAGGCCGTTCTGATGTATGGTAATGAAACTTGGCCCCTTCGGTTTGAAGATCTGAGGCGCCTTCATGCCTTTGATCATCGTTGTTTGCGAAGCATTGCTGGTATCGGATGGCATCAGCGTGTCCGAAACGATGATGTTCGTAGGCGAGTACTAGGTGGTGATAATGGTGCTAGCTCCCTAGAGCAACATACAGCAACGAATAAGTTGCGTTGGCTCGGGCACGTGCTCCGCATGCCTGATCACCGCTTACCTAAGAGGGCCTTGTTTAGTCTGCCAGGTGTAGGGTGGCGCAAAGCTCGAGGTGGACAGAAGTTGACTTGGCAGCGGGAAATGAAGTTACTGATGAGCAAACTGGGTGCCGTTAGTCCGTTTCGTCTTCCGGACTCGAGTCCACGTAACTCGCCTTGTGCTTGGTTCGAAACTTTAAAGGACACCAGTGGCGCGTCTGCTGCCGTCTAATAATTGGATTGCCTGTTTAAAGTGTGTGTTGCTGAGTTATCTGCGGGATACTGGCTGATTATGGCGCGTGGCAATGAAAGCCACAAGGAAGCTGTCTCGCCGATGCCGCTTTATCTTTTCACGATAGCCAGCTGTTTGTGACGGTATGTTGTCTACACAAGGTGTAGGCCGCCTTGACCAAGAACGTTTGCTTAGAGCATTAAGGTATTCAAGCAATACACCCTTCTCTCCCTCTAATTATTCTTTACTTCATAGGTTAACATGGTTGTATGGCAGCGAAGCATCAGATCAAATGGCTGATGTACTGTTGTTGTTGATGATGAGAAGACACGAAATATATCATTTTCACTTTAAATGGGGCGTTTTGCAAAACAAAGTGGACTTTTTGCAAACCACTTTGGACACATTGCATTTTAAGCAGAAAATCAGCAACTCGCTTGCAGGAAATGGGGAGTAAGGCGACTAGACAATGTTCAGACTACATTGTAGTTATGCTAATGCAACCGAATTGTGTGTAATCAGCGGGTGCCATTGCAAACTCTTTCACTGATCGTGAATCTCGATCAAAGACGGTGACTGAGTATCTACCTATCTGTCTTCTCGTAGTTTATGTGTTTCTGACTTGACACATGGATCTGTGTAGCTATGTGACTATTGGAAAGTCAAACGCCCCAATCGAGTACTCTAGCACGACTTAAACAAATGTTATCTAGCATTGGAGAGTTGTTGTGAAGCGCTCGTTTTGAGAATGGATTACGATGCGCCGTCTCAACGTGAATCGCGATTCCCACTATAAGCAAGGATGATTTTTCTTGCAGTGCTCTCGTTTATATCGGCGACTTCAGCAGCTTTGTGGGTGGTTTTGCCGTTGGCGAACACAAGCTTAGTGAGGAGCACTTTCCGTGTCAATGATGTTCGGCTGTACCGCCTCGGCCTCGAAGATGTGTTCTCTCGCTGCTCGTCGCTCATTTTGGTCGTTTCGTGCAGCACAAGGCTAATAAAGCTATGCTGTGTTTGGTGGAGTCATGATAGCCTGCACTGGTCCAATAATCGGGCAGCTGAATAGGTCGGCTCACACACCCACAGGAATTACGGGGATGCCCATAGGGTGACAGGGCAAATGTGTCACCCGCTTCGATGGAGGAGAACGACGCAAATGATCCAGAGGAAGGCTTGCACAACTGCCCAGTGCTTGCACAGTACCGATGCATTCGCATGACCAACCTGTGGCGGGTACATCGTCTAGTTGTCTTACTCCCATGCCTTGGTAACAAACTGCAACTTTAGGCCAGCAAAATTAGGCGGATTTCAGTGGATTCATCATAGCCTACACTGTACCAAAATTCCTGCAGCTGAATAGGTTCGCCCACATACTCACATAAGATACGCGAAGGTCCACAACGCGACAGGGGGTAACAAGGTCACCTGTTCTGATAAAGACAACTGACCCCCATGATGAAGAGAAAGGATCGCACAATCGCTCACTGCTTATGCAGTTACGTTACATTCGCGTAGTGTAGTCGGAATATCGTACATTCCCCTTGCTCCCCTGACTTTGATAATTAGCTACAGTTGTAAACCAGTGGAGCTAGACTGGTTTAGGCGGATTCAGGATAGCCAATAGTGGTCCAGTAATTGCACCGCACAGGTTCGCCCACATACCCACAAGAAATATGCGAAAGCCCATACAGCGACGCGGGACAAATGGGTCGCCGGCTTTACTTGAGCAGATAAGCACCAATGATCAAGAGGATGGCTTGGACAATCGCCCACTGCTTGCAAAGTCTCGTTTCATCCGCGCGAGCACATTGTGGTCTGAACATCGTCCAGTCGGTTTAATCCCCTTTCTTTGATAACGAGTTGCAGCTGAAGGCCAAAAAAGCTATGCTGTGTCTGGTGGAATCATGACAGCATGCACTAATCCAATAATCGAGCAGCTGAATAGGTTGGCTCATACAAAATACGAAGGCCCACAGGGTGACAGGGTAAAATTGGATCACCGCCTACCTGCTTCATCAGTGACGGTTCGAGTGATCGAATTGGTCAGGGTTTAATTCAGTGTGAATAGCCGTTCACATTGAGATGGCGTATCGTAATCCATTCTCAAAACGAGCGCTTCACAACAACTCTCCAATGCTAGATAACATTTGTTTAAGTCGTGATAGACTACTCGATTGGGGAGTCTGACTTTCCAATAGTCACATAGCTACACAGATCCATGTGTCAAGTCAGAAACACATAAACTACGAGAAGACAGATAGGTAGATACTCAGCCACCGCCTTTGATCGAGATTCACGATCAGTGAAAGAGTTTGCAATGGCACCCGCTGATTACACACAATTCGGTTGCATTAGCATAACTACAATGTAGTCTGAACATCGTCTAGTCGCCTTACTCCTCATTTCCTGCAAGCGAGTTGCTGATTTTCTGCTTAAAATGCACTGTGTCCAAAGTGGTTTGCAAAAAGTCCACTTTGTTTTGCAAAACGCCCCATTTAAAGTGAAAATGGTATATCTGAATTCAGATCGTTATTTTGGTTGGTGCCAATGTTTCTCGGAGCGGGATGAGAAATCGTTTCGTAACTGTAAAGCTCATAGTATTTGATGGACCTTGATCCGAGACAGATACTTGAATGGTTGAAACAAAAGAAAACGAAGAGGTTGACAAAACATGATTGTGGGAAAACCTAGATTGGCCCGGCAAGAGATTGCAAAGACGATGATAACATCATGATGGGGACATGCGGAAAAGATGCTAGTGAGAAGTTAAGCAAGTAGCTAGACAGACATAGAGACAAAGTGAGGTTGCTCATTGAAGAGCTGTCTTGTCTGTCGTATAAGATGATAACTCTATTGCCAGATCCTGCCCGTTGCATTACAAACAAGGTAGCGGTACAGATCAGTAAAATGGCAGTAAGAGGTCAGTAAGTTAACGCCGATGGACGAAAGTTCTTTGTCCACAGAGAGTAAACGATAGCAAATCCAGACAGCACATGAAAAGACTAGAAACGACCTAAAGCATACGGCTTACCTGAGACGTATTGTTATCATGTATGATGGTGACCAAGGAGAGGTAGGAACTCACAACAACGTTGTATGTTTTAATAAAGTACAATCGATGATGAGAGACCCCACATGCAATAAGTGCGCGATTCCACGATAGCCACTCACTTGAAGCGCGGGACGACCACGGTCCCAGTTGAAAACCACCGAAAGGACTTCGACAAGCTGATGCGCCCGAAATCAACAGCAAACAATGGCGCGACCGGAGATAGTGTAGACACATGTAAACAGGACAAGACGCATGATGGGTTGCGCAATTGACTTCAGTACATTGAACCGAATGATAGTGATTAGTGGATCGATAAAGTAAATAGATGGCGTGCTAACATTAGCCTGAACACAGATGGATGATATGGCGGCTTGGGAAAGACGGAGAAAAGCGAGCATGGCGGCTGTCTGAGCCTTATGAGTAAAGAACAAACAGAACGCCCATCCATGAAAAACAATGAAGAGCTGTTAGAGACAGTGACGAGTTGAAGAAAATAAAGAAGCCACATAAAAACACAAAATACAAGAGCAGACTCACCGTATTGTCCACAGCCGCAGGTTGGGTGTACAATATATACACAATTAAATTGTTCAAGTGCTGAACAAAATGATGAATAGAGCAATGAGAGGGAAAATAAGATAGACAGAATTCGAACTCGCTCGGGTGATTATAAGCAGGGGGATGTCGTGTGGATCAGAAAAAAGAATGATGATGCGGTATGGCTCCTGTCCTAACTGTCTGACTCTGAACGTATGATGGAAGAGAAAACTGGAAGGTCATCGAAATGCTATAAAATCGTACTCAGAGCTCTCCAGAGAAGTCACAAGGTATGCTTAAATAACGTCGGAATTAAATCGTGCGGCACTTTTGTGCTAAAAGTTTCCTTGGGAACTAATCGTTTCAGTCGGTGATAGTGTTGTGTTCTGATGGACGATAGCTTAGGTAGCTGGAAAATATTCCATAGAATTTGCACCAGATGACACAAGGTGGGGTCTAAACACGGAAGATTGTAGCTAACAGACATATCGTCCGTAGCCTTAAGGAGCATAAAAGCCTGCCTTGTAATCTGAGGGTACGGGTTCGAGGCTGCGTAGGGACCAGGCGATCCTCGCAGTATCCTTAGTCCACATGCGACCGGTGGTTGTTGCGCGGCAACGAAGCATCGGTACTGCGTACCGGCGTACTGCTGATGCCTGCCTGCATGTCACAGTAAGCCACTGGGTGGGATGAGAATCTTTGATGCAATGATCAAGAGCCCAACGCGCGTCATGAATTCAAAGAGTGACACGAAGCTCAGCGGAAGTGGATAGTTCTTAGGCCAGTGTGCAGCCGTAGACACCGAGTTACATGAAGTCGTCATTCATCAATGCGACTACGAGTGAACAGTGAGAGAAACACATCAGAAACATCAATTAATACTAATGACCCAGATCGTGTAATATCATAAAACAACACGCATTCGTATGAAAATCGGTTGTGGAGTAGGGCTGTGAGCCGAGTCCAAATAAATTTTAACATTCACTGTGAGATGTTATTGATGAAATGTAAGGTGGTCGAAGGCTGTTGGGTTTATGTGACGCCAGTCAGAGGAAAAAACGATCACCAGCCTCACCAGGTAGACCGAAGCAGATCACAAAATCTGTCTTCCAAAACATGGTTTTAACCGCTGAAGCACCAAGGCTTCAGCGAACTGAAGTAGACGGGGATGACTTTGTTTGTTAACTATCACAAACATTCCACGTGGCTTTCGGCACACAGAGTGAAAAGAAATCCCACGGATCCTTTCTTAGATGTTAACTTACAAAGAAAGCCATCCAATACGCTCGTTCGATCTGCATACAGAAAATAACCATAGACGGAACAATACGTCAACTGTAGTAATTACTGCTTAAGAAATATAAACGAACTTAGATCGATACTATTTTTGCTAGAGCCCGTCAAATTTGCTCGCAGGACATAATCGACAGTTAACTAGAACGCGTCACCTCGACACTAGGAGAGAATGGATATCCCGGGCGGTTCATAGCACGGCCCATGAACTTACAGTCCAAAGATAAACCATGTTTCTAAAAGGGTAGTCAATATGCTTTCGTTTAACGGGATCAAATGGCAAGATGTCAATATCTTCACCGATCTATAAATTAGTGCTATTACGCAACAGCTAGTGCTATTGCACCAAGTGAGAAGGTTGTTGTGCAAATCTAACTTGGGCACACCGCACTCTCAAGTTACCGCTTCATGCATCTACCTCTTTACCTATACTTGTGGTGGAAAGTATAAGGGCCGAACTGAGAGAAAGCTATCAACGAGGATTGCAGACCATGTCCCAAGAAACATGATCTCAAATGGTCCAAAGATACCCACTAGCTCGATTACCCACTACATGTTCAATTGCTCTGTGCATCAAAACCCACTTGAAGCGTGTCAGGTAATTAAGAAACAAGGTAATCGCAGTCTAGTTCAGTTCGCTGAAGCTTTGGCGATTCGGCGGTTGAAGCCAAGTTTGCGCAACCAGACGGATTTCGTGAACAACCTTGACCTACTTTAACGAGGCTTGTGATGGTTTTTTTCCTTCTGACCGGAGCCATGTGAACTCAATGACTTTCGACTGTCTTACATTTTACCGATAACAAAGCAGGTTGACTGTTCATGATATATGCAACCAGTTCATTGCACAAATTTGAACATTCACCACCCATCATTGGATGTGGACGCATTGCTTGTATACCGCAGACCGTAGGGTCTGGGTTGTGAACGATATAGTAGAAATCCCTCATGAGCTGTCTCGATGCGCTGGTGTACAGTATTTTCGATAGACACTAGGATCGATCCCTTCGTGTAGGCACGGGTGGAGGGTTAAGTCATTGTAATTCACGAGATAGATTGCAGGTGAGGTGAATTAGCTAGCGGTTCGGATAGAGAAAGAAGCCGACTTTCCTTCACAGATGGGGAATACGTTTGATTCAAACCTTCGCGACAAAAGTGTAGAACTATTCCCGGTCTCAAAAAGTAGTGACGATTAACTGACATCTATTCTGAAAATGTCACAAACACAAACGAATAAGCTCCATTAAGTACCTGGAAAAACTCTCCTCACTCATAATAACATCCTGTGACAATCCCCACCCCCCCAATGAGGACATCAGCGGTATGCAATATCCCCTCGCAACTCAAGAAACAGACGATAATCTGCCGCTTCACAAAGTGCTAGTTATCATACTCCATAGACATGTATAGGTGCAAAGCGTTGTAAACAATGCGCAAACAGACTACAAATAAGACGTAAAAACTTACGGTAACGAGTCGCTTGAAGTGGCGTGGTTGCATCTTTCCGAACCATCGATCTGGAATACAGGCATAATGGGTGCTGTTTAACAAAGGTCGAGAGAAACAGAGCGAAACGCAACAATGCGCGCCATACACATCTTCAAAAATAAGGGGCAGGAGCTATGCCTCGTTACTAGAGCTGCCCAACCATCTCCGTTCAGTAGGTCAGGCTAACGAATTCGCAGATGACAATGCTTCGGAAAAGCATACAGAAAATTCGAACATGGCATTTTCGACCTAGGTAGTTTCCTTCGAAGCCCGAGATGTTGTCTAATTCACAGGGAATCGACAATCATACAATCGATTAAGACGAAAAGCTAAAGGGAGCTGATTGGCAAATGAGAATGGGTAACTAGAGTTGATCTGAGTGATGCACAGTCCAGAACAACCAATCATAAATTAAAACGAAAGTGGCGCTGTTTGTATAGAATAGGCGACGAATGCCAAGAGGGGCGACTCAGGCGGTTCAGCGACTCTACGAGTGTGGGTCAATCCATTTAGTATGAGTGGATATCGGATCTTTGATCCAAGATGCTCCCCTTAATGAGCATGTACCGTACCGAGTGAAGGAGTAAAACGTGAACAGATGAAGAGGACAGTGATAGCTTGGAAGAAGCAGTGTAACACGATTACCTGGTAAACAGAAGATGCCAGATGGCAGGGGACTAAATACGAGTGTCTATTTGTTACCTGAGGTGCGGAGCCCAAGTCCGGGCGTAATGAACTGATACTATTGTATGAAGAGTTATCTACGGTCTGATAGCGCGAGACGAAAGGGGTCACGTTTCTGGTCAACCTCGTATTCCTCGTTAAAGATTACGCGGTCTAAGAATATGACACATGATGAAGTGTGCTGGTGCTACCACCGCTGTTCCTTATTGGGGAGGTCGCTCAGAAATATGTGGGGTGAAGCATTCTGGGCACAAAAAGATACCACACCTTTTAGTTCATTGTTGTCAAGACTGAGCTGAAAACTGGGTAACTGACGAGCCTCGGATATATTGTGGAGATGTCCGTCGCACAGAGAAGCTACAAAAAAAGCATCAGCAAGACGCCAGTATCCCGAACCAATGTCTCACTACCACACGACCACCAGCAATAGTGTGCGGGCTGCGGACTTCGCGAGGTCAACCGGACCTACGCAGGTCCGAGCCTTTGACCTGGGGATTGCAAGCCAGATGCCCCAAACACTCAAAGAGACTGCACACTGAGACAGTGTAATTAATGAAGTCAAGTGGGACGGCCACATGAAGAGGTAGTTTAGTACTGAGTGTACAAATCTAGACTAAGATGCATACATAGATCTAGGTGGAAGCAAATCCTATGTGAATTAGGGTATGAAATGAATGTTTCATTGCGATGACATTGTCTGCTCTTAACTTGGAGGATCATAGGATATTTGAGAGGAACAACAAGCAGTAGTAACGAAACTTAGATGGAGTCAGGTGACCAGAAAAGAGGAAAGTCAAAAGCCGGCCCCGGAAATAAGAGAAATCGTGACGGTGAGAGCGGAGAACCCGCCCCCACACCGCGATCTGGACAAGAGGCGTAGTTGACGATGGGTAATTGGAATTTGCCAACTGAAAGAGGACAACTGGTACACTGGTTCTGTACATAGCACATTTATGCTGCACACCCAAACAAATGGCCAAAATAAGAAGAATTCGGGTTAGAGCTAACTAATTTGATTCGGGTGCGGTAGATCTCGTTACCACATGCCTAGCATCTCCAGAATAACAATAATTACATAATGATGAGGAAAATGAATTAGAACGAAAGAGTTAAGAGGAAGTGAGTAAAGTCAGTTGGAATGGGAAGTTAATATCCAGATGGAACAAGCTGAATGCAGGAGTGTCATTGAGCCTGTAACTGGGCCACGTCGAAACACAACTCTAACAACTATGTTGAGAGTCATTTTGAAGTACACATTGTGTGGATGGATTGCGACGTGCAATCTCAATGTTGAGCGCGATTCCCATTGAAGTGAACCTTGGTCTTTCGATCGCGAGGACCGTAGCTGATGCAAATAGAACTCCAACAACTAATCGGGCCTATCATCCAGAGGCTCCCAGCCTGTTCAACTCTCCCGGTTAACTTCTGCGTATTTGTGTACCCAGTCATCGACTGGCCACTTCGCGGTTCAGCCCCAGCGGGTGCAGCGACAACATATGATGCTGCACGCCGAGGACAGCGAGCAACGGACACGCAGAGGAGATGACTGAGCCAACGCAAGTAGATCCGAATTAACAGACATGCTGGTGTTGCATAAGAGGGTATTCTCATTCCTTCAGGGCTTTTCGTCTGGTGCTTCCATTAAATGTGAGCAATACTGCACAGGCACCGGTCGGTGATCAAGGACGACCATCTGCTTAGTGTGTTCAGTGTGAAGTGACTATATTTCGGATCTATGGAGTAATAACGGTTACAACGTACACCACATTTTCGACAGGCTAATATCCCGTAGTCTTCACAGATGGGTTAAACCACACAAGTCACAATGGCTATTGAAGGTGTGAGAGACGAACACGCAGTCGTGTGGCTCACGAGGCACATCAAGTCATGTACAGAAACACCAAAACCAATGCGCGATTGGATTGTAGGCATCAAAATTGGAACGTGTGGTAGCAACGCCTAGATGTGGTTAAAAGAGTCTTGCGCCAAACGTCAGCTATTTAAGCACGTAAAGAGAAACTCACAAGCCACATACACTAAACAACTACACAGCCCACCGATGATTTCACACAAGGCTCCCCTCGACATGCACTCAAGTCAATGCACACAGAGTTGATAAAAATAATTGCATGGCGGGGTTGAGACAGGGAGAAAGACAAGTCCGACATCTTTCGCAAAATGGAGTTTAAACCCCGAAAAAGCAAGAAGCTCAAGTAATAGTGGGCACAGGCTATTGTGATGCAAGCAGTATTGGTTGAAGAGTGCGAAGCCTTCCACCTGGGTACTCGTGAGCTGGCAAATGAAAAACTAAAGGCTGTTGGATCAATGGTAAGACCAGCAATAAGAGGAAAAATTTCCAAGTTCGGAAGCTTTTGAATACAACTGGGGAGAGAGGTGAAGTTGCATCTGCGGTACCTACTATATCATCATCGGAGCCGATAAATGCAACAGTGCAATGCTACACAACAAGTTGAATTTTGTGGGGGAAAATGAAGGAGCATCTATCAAAAGGACCCCACAAAATGATTGAGAATAAAACTGTAGCGTCCGTAATGAATGGTAATAGAACAGAGGTTGGTAACTACCTGAGGGGAACGGACTGTCTACGGCCGAACAGATGATACAACATATGCCCGAAGTCAACTGTTTCGCCGAGGATCTATGGGTAACCAAAGATCTATAAGCCAGACGTTCCCATCCAACCCATAATGGATGGTATCGGTTCTCTGACGCGCGAAACAGCCAGATAGATAAGATTCGTTACAACCGCTAACATGGGAGCAACTATATTCGTAGAGTACTCTTGGGAGTACGCGGGAAAAGTGGTAGGTTTGACCATCGAATCAGGTGAAATAGTGGTTGGTTTAGACGTTAGCTCGTTATTCACCAACGTACTCAGAGGTAACGCGCTGGGGATAGCAAAACGCTGTTTAATCGAGGACAGTAGACTGGGAACCCACAATAACAACTACACTGCAAATTTTTGCATGGTAGGAGTGGGTTCCAAATAGCCCAAACAGAACGGTCTGACTGAATAATATAAAAACGAGGGGTCATTGATTTCAGACAATATAAGGACCCACGAAGTAGCAAAGTGAACAAGTATAAATATTGAGTGATAGCACTAACCGATAATCTTTGAAGGAGCCGAATCCAACTTGTTTATAGCCAATGCGAAGGCACTCAGGACCAGGCCTGGATTGGAGAAGCCAGCGACTGAGACGGGATAGGGACCCTGATCAATGGAATCGGTCACTTCAGGCACCATATCTATGCTGACACCCACGGATGGAGCGACGTCGCTGCGAGTGCTTGGCACAGAGGAGGGCTGAGCGAACGGCTTGCGCGGTGTGTTGAGTAGATCGGACACAGCGAGAACCATGAGTCCACGAAGACATTCGACGTTCGGATAGTTGGTACGGGACACGTTTAGGACGCCATCCATCAATTTGGTGATAAGCCGGTGCAAATTTTTCAAATGTAACTGTTGAAAAAGCTGGTGTTGCAGATCGCGGGCGGCATCCAAGTCAATCCCGTATTCATCCCGGCCAGTGGAGAAGTGTCTAGAAAGAGTGAACGAGAGAGGGTTGATGAAGACAAAAGAGAGAAGAGCCTGGTGGTATTGGAACGTCAGTTGTGAAAGGATAAGCTCACTTGTCTGTGAGGCAGACGGCTGACAGACATCCCAGTGAGGAGAACGCTGTCTCCAAGCGTGCAGCGGCTGTCAGTGACTGTTGAGAGTTGGTACTATCTACAGACTCCAAATCGGACCGCGAAGATGTATTTGACATTACAGAATTTATTGGGGCTGGTAAGGGAAGAGCTGTCAAAGCATCTTGAAGGTGGGTGACAGCTTGTGGGCATAATGTGGCGATCGAACTTGGAGAAGTAGGGTTCCAAACACGAAAGTCTTCCACAACAATTGAATATTTTGTCTGGCACAAAGAGGGAATGGCGGAGGCAATAACAACGGGACAAGCCAATCTAAAAATCCTGATCTCTACCGAAAACGGAGGATTAGAAAAAATTGGTCGCTAAGGAGTTGTAGAGACGAAACATATAGCCAGTATTATGCTACAGTGTGCATGTGGAGGACGGGTGGACAAAAACCCACAGGAACAAGTTTTAGAACCCGTACAATGCGCTCGAGATACGAATTATCCGAGTTAATCATGGTACGATCAAGATTAGTTTAAAGTGCAATAAACATACAATATCTCGTGGTTTCGGAGAAAGACATAGGAATGAGCTGAGGACTTCATCCAACGACGTATGCGTTCAACGAATGGAAGGTCATAACGCAATTTGAAGGACTTATATACGAACGCTTGACTCGAAAGAAAGAAATTTTTAACCAATAGACATGAGAACAGTGGTAGAGACTGGTCTTCAGCGATAGAACCGAGAGTCAGCTACATGGACCCGATACGTGATGAAACGGGAGAATGATTTGTAGGTAGAAATAAGACAGCGTCCCAGGTGGACGAAGATCCCCAAAGCGATTAGTTCAGTTTGTTGGGGTTAAGACAGCTGAGATATGAGATCTTAGTGAAGTCTAGGGAGACGCAAAGGACCATGCTGTGGTGTCGGTGTGCGATAGGGAACACATAATCGCATGCAAAGCAAAAACGAGGGGAAGAACGGCCACGGTAACAGCAAGATAGTAGACAAGGTTGTTCAAAGTAATAGCATTTGGTAATTTTGAAGTGAAGTTACTGGAGCACCAGTCAGGCTCAGTAAAACGTACTCCCATTAGTGGAAGACTGCAGCCAAATTAGTTGGGGCATGTAAAACAGCCGAAGTGGAGGGTGTATCTACGTGAGATGCACACCTTCTACAGGCTGACGTTACCTTAGCGAAAAGTTCAGGTGAAATTGTAGACAATGTACATCTAAATGATCCTGAAAACAAGCAAACGATGACCACCTCATCATCAAAAGGATCCTGTGTGATTACTGGAAGAGGTATTTGATGAGTGTTACAATGAGGTTGTTTGACAACTCAATAGAGCGGTCTGCAACTTTTGGTCCATACGTTGGGGTTCCAAACGCTAATGAATCATGTGCAAGCAGAAGCTGTCAGACAAGGAATAATCGGCTAAGGGCATAGAATCTGACCTGACATTTAGGTGCATCAGTTCGGTTGGACGAAAAAGACAGTGATCATAAAAGCACTGATGCGGTTCCACCAACGACTCAGTGAAAGTTGGTGTGTCGTTTCTCCTAGCAGTGTCCCTAATTCTACTTGAGAGTGTAGAGTATACTTCAATCCCTGTGATATCTGAATTAGGATGGTTTGAAGCGCTGTGGAGGAAACATCGAATCAGTGCACACAACGAAAACGGATGGCCGCCATGAAAGATCGCACTCGATGGTCCAAGCTCTCACTCTGATTGATAATAGGCAGGCTGAGAAGTAGGATGCTCTGCCTAAAACGTGAATCCAGAAAGGGGGGGGGGAATGCGTCGCATGTGAGTCGAAAAGGGACAGAATCGAATTGGTGACCAAGCTGTTGCCCAGTGTTCTCTGTTACCGTTTATATACGTGACAACTATGCCTCATCGATGGGAAACGAGAGTGAGCCAGTGAATGTTCACAGTAATCAGCGAGTGGCAGTGTTAAACATGGAGACAAGTATGCTGGGCCGGACATTTTGACTGCGTCTTGAATCCGCGAGGACTGGACACGCGACCCATGAAATCGTTGTAATGTGCAACGAATGCATAGCGTTGTAGAAATGAAAAGTGTAGAGTAGACCAAAAGGTAGTACAAAATAAGAAATGTACATACGGAAGGCTTCTGAGCCAGCAAGTAGGCGTGATCTCCTCCAGCGTACAAGCGGGTCACAACGAGAGCGTCAGTAGGGGTGTTATATTGGTTCGGATCCATTCCAGCACTGATCCAAGAACCTGAAGCAACATGTGAAAAATTCAATATGAATGATTGCGTGGTACAAGTAACGGTTAACAAGAACTGCGAACACATATGTGTTGAGTCGTGAAAACTGAGCGTTCCTTAACGAATCGATCAGTACACCTTTCGTTGGGCAAAATCCAACTAGTTCATAGAAATCTTGAGGAAAAAGCTCACTGGTTGATAAGAAGAAAGCACGAATCATCTGGTAACAATCTGAAAAAATTAAAGCAGTATGGAAAACAAGAATACCCTAAGTTAACGGCGCCCTATAGAGAACACAAGTTTACACTATGCGCTCGCTGCGTCTTTTGTGGTTGATGAACCAGTGGTAAAAGGCTTATGTTGACAAACCAATCGGAGTGGCTTGGATACCCCAATCAGGGTGACCGTAGTATATCAGTGAATCAGAGAGACAGTTACATGCAATCTCCGAAGGGAATGCGTGCCGTAACACAAACACGCAGCGATTACCCCGAAGCCCACCACTGAATATAGCTGGTCGCCATACCAAGCGTTGTACGCGGATTCCTGTGACCTGGCAGTCAGGGTGTTAGCCGTTCTTTACTACGTCCCGTGTCCCGCGCTCGCAATTCCGTTTATTGCTATCTATTAAGTTCAATCAGGGACAAAAGCGGTCGCAGAGTGTAGCGCTGAGAAAGGGCAACACTGAAAACTCGCCACTCTGGACACAATCCTAGCAATCGAAATGACCAACGTCTACTTCCAAAGTAAGGCAAGACCTCCTTGGAGATTGTGTATCGTAATCCCCAACAAACACGATGAGTACTTCAAAATACTCATATGCGACAAACGAGAGAAAGTTGCCACGATTGATCAACGGAGTATGCGCGGGAGCAAATGGGGATACCTGCGCTTGGAGATGCTAAAGACGGAAAACGCTAATGAATGATGTCACGCACATTCAGAGCGGGGCGGAGAAGTGGGTAAGGAAGTGAATGGAGGCCAGCAGCACAAATATGGGGAAAACTAGAGGGAGTATTCGGTGGATTTTATCAACTTATGGAGTGTGCAGCCAAGTGGAGAAGATACGAGAGTGAATCGAGTTGTGGTTGGTGCAATGTGGGCGTATATAATGAGAAGAGAAAGTTGATGCGATGCGCTGTTAATGCTGGAAGGTAACATGAGACACAAAATGATCCTCGATACCAATGTGGGAGGAGCTTTAGAGCGCTAAGTGCAAATGGTGTGATGAGTGAATTGACATAAGAGAAAAGTAAGTAGCCCAATCAATGGGATATGAACTCCACAGATAATAAATTATAGTCACTTGAACTGATTACATATTTGGTGTGAGTGCATACCCTTCGTTACGACTGGACGTAAACTATCCGATGTCTTGTCTGTGCCCAGCTGACCCTCGGAGCCGGCGCCGAACGCATAAACGCATCCGCTTGAAGGTGCCAAGGTCAGCGTGTGCATTCGACCACAGGCAATCTGAGTTATTGTAGTGCCCATCAAGTCGATCACCTGGCGAGGAATTCCAATACTTTTCGCCGGTTCGTTATGCCCCAACTGGCCGAATCTTGAGGGAAGATAGTGCATTTGAGAGGAGAGAGAGAAAGGCGGAGAGATCAGACTACAGACAAACAAAGCGAAGGCGCCGTGCGCGAGGAGAGAAGATCGCAGAAGAGATGATACAACCAGTGTTTAAGAAGAGAACTGCAAGTTGGTAAAGTAAGTGATAATCGTTTAGGAAATAGATAGGCAAACGTTTCTGTCCAATGAGCCAATCGGAAAGGAACGCTAGGCGGCAAGAAGGAACGAGGTGTAACAGGAAGTGGTTTGCGAATTGTAGTAATCTGACCTATATATCAATATGGAGTTCATGGATACCATGTGGCCTTTCTGAAGTGACTACACAAGGTTAACAACGCAGCCTGCATCGGCGAAAAGACAAAGAGGTAACGAGAACAAGTGGACTATGCCTGAAGACATTATTGTAAGACACACAGTGAAAAAGGGACTCGTCGATTTAATCGCGGAAAATCTTGGCAGAGGATGTATTGGCCACATACCGTCAAGTGCTGGAACGGCGGCATGCAGATAGATGACAGACTTCGGTGAGTAACCAAGGCTTCAACCAAGTTGACCGCGCCAGATTGTGGCCTTATCTATCTATGTTGGGTGTGCCCGGGAAATACCTACCAATTCAGATATCCAGCTATAGCCAGCAACAGCCCATAAAAAGCTACTGAGTTAGGTACGATAAGTAGGAGGTACTAAGTCCGCGCTCTAAGAGACCATGACCGAGTCTTACGTGCATGTACTTTAGCAGAAATCAAAGATAGGTTATTTGCAGTACACCAGCACTAGGCACCGTTGGGTCCATGCAATGCAACAACTTGCGGTTGCATGCGGGTTTGGATGCCGCAGGAATGCCGCAGTCCAACAGAATCGGGGATACGAACCCAGGAACGTAGAGGCTACAGGCTAAAAGCATGAACTACAAAACCACAGATCTCTAGCAGTGGCTTCACTAGATGACTGACTGAGCAACGTGAACTACGTAGATGAAATAGCGCTCTTGAAGTAGGACCAAGTTTCAACAGAACCGTCCATGGGTAAACTGACGCAAAGGAGTGCACGGTTTGGTATGAACTTGGGGCTTGTAAAATGTAATGTACTGCCAGCGGTACACTACAAACTTTCAGTGGATTGTCACTCGAAGTAGTTGATCAGATCACTTAGATAGTTAGACGTATTATCGCTAGTGGTTGCATTGTTGAGCAGGTTATTTCACGCATCAGCAAAGCCGCGTGACTTTCTAAGTTCGCATTCATTGACGGGGATGACAAGATAGCAGATTGTCAGTCAGGGTGTACAACACTGCGATAAGAACGGTGTTACTGAAGAAATGAAAAGATTGCTCGTCTCTGATCACTGCTGATTGTGGAGTATTGTTCACTGCTGGTTGGAACACCAGATGATCGTACAGTTAGTACGTGAAAAGAAACTCTGGTACCACAATGGAGGGTCTATGACACCTGAACAGCATAAGTCAGCTGGGCAAAATTCTCCACATGCTCGGTCGCTGACCGCATCCCTCGGCGCGCACTAGTTGTTGCCGTTGCACTTGTTTTGGCGAAATCGCGGTGTAGTCAATCGAGGAAAGGCAGAGGAAGGCCAGCTGAGAGAATTGAACAGTCTAGATGGGGGTCTGGAGAGGGGCACAATATCAGGGGTTAGATACCTTGACAGGATTGGTACAGTTAAGAAGTGAGTGGAGTACCTGCGTTCCGACTTGTTGAAGCAAGCTTGTAACTCAAGCATGATTGCTGTAATCGGCCGTTTCTCCCCTGAACACAGTTAACATTAGTTTGCGTTCCACCTCATTTCTACACCACTGTCAGAATTATTAGTGCCATTACGCAAGACATGGTAATTGAATCAAGTGAACCCCGAAATTCGGGCCATACCTACTCGAAATGAGCTAAATTGAATCTTGACACTAGTAAAAGAATCGGGTTGGACCACACCAGTGGTTAGAAATTTCCCACAATAAAGCGCAATAGAGCGATCAGCAGTGGTCATGCATCTAACTTCATTGAAACGACGCTCCAGTTGTTTTCTAAAGTCCCTCTGATCGTTTCTTCCGTTTGATTTATTCTTACTCATCTTGCCTCGACATCCCTACTTTCTATTATCATGACGAATTGTTATCTGACCATAACGGTCTCGGTGAACAAACTGAGCAAAGCGTAGTGGGAATTCGGAAAACAAGACAGATCGAAAAAAAACTACAGCGGTCATGCCCTTGCAGCGGACCGTGGTGAACAGGCATTCGAAAGGTCAGCGTACGGTGGCGACGAAAGCAATCTGCAACATCGCGTAGATGATGGAATGGTAACACACACACTAGTCGCCTTGGCTGTGCTGACCAAAGACCAACAGATGCACAGAATACAATCCGGAGAGCCGCAATTGGGCTTGAGATGTAAGATATGGCAAAAGAGGATAACAAAGTGTACCGATGAGGCTGCGCCATTGCTGCTTGTGACAACGTGTGCTGGGCTGGCCTGTCGATACACAACCGATCAGACACACAGCCATCGGATCTTTTCCAGTTAAGCCCCGCCACCCAAAAAAGATTATGAAAAGGGAGGATATGGAACTTGAACTTTTACTCTCTATTGAAGAGGGTGAAATTGAGACAAGTCATTAATAATTTGCATGAAAAGGTCCATTTTTCGGTGTCTTTGCCTCCAAACGAACTCACACGGGTAGATGTCCACTAAAGATCGGTGTGTGCCGCATTGGCGCTTATTCTCCATCTTGTAAATGTGTCAGAGAGATTCGATGGTTTGTGTGTGAGCTCCAGTCGTTGGATCCACAAAGTTTTCGGTATGATTAACCGTTTGATGAGTATAACTCATGCCAATCATCGATTCAATGCCTTGGTATGATGCCCACATATCGGAAATGATAATTGAGCCGGGAGCGATGCAGACCTGGATTGTGTCCAGCAGAGTGGCTGCAGTTCGATCTGGCACTGCATAAAAGAACACTTCTTTAGTCTCCCGACAAATCCCTCCGAAAATCCACTGCTGGGGAAGGACTCGCCCTGCATGGTTTTTACGACGTGTAGACCTGGGACGCCGACAATCGTTGGAGTCTGCAAAAGCTGCCAGGCGCAAATTTCACGCAGAAAGTTCTTCCAGTCGACAGCGGTCGCGTGGCCAATAGATAACTCCTCTGAGCAGAACTTGATTGTTGTCAGATTTTTGGACCAGCAATAAATGAATAGGATGATTGTCCTGAAATCCATCCTAGACCCCTCCAGCCAAGTTCCCTTTCGAAGACCGATTTCTTGCCGACACTGTCGGGCATCACACCTCCACCTGTCAGAAACAGTTGAAAGTATCATTTGGTGTCCTCGTTTGCATAAACTTTGATGATGAATCACTCCATGGCATTGCAAAAAACGTATTGCTGTTTCCTTGTCATGAACGACCGCCGAAAGCGTCAGAAAGTTCATGTCAGGTTTTACGTGCGAACGTAGAAACTTTTTGGACAAAAATGACCTTAGAAGCGGATAAGGAGTGTTTTTATGGGGGCACGTTCACATGCATTACGTACACTGGAGCTGGCAAACAGTGGCGGGGCTCAAATTTTCACGCGTGCCCTTTTTGCACTATTGATGGGGCTTGACTTTTCAGGTGTACCCTTTTTGCCTTAGTGGCAAGGCTTAACTTTTTGCGCGTGCTTTTTTTGCATTAGTGGAGGGGCTTAACTGGAAAAGATCCCAGCCATCACGTTACCTGAAAGAGGTGAACATGAAAGCCTAGTGAGCAAAAAGAAGTCGATGAAGAGAGTGAAGACGGGAGATTCGAGGATTTGGCGACTACACTGCATCGAAGATCGGGAGTGAAAATCCTAACGTAGCTGATCAGACAGATGGGTCCGAAATGGAACACGTAGGCACTCGAAGAAAGGGTTATACCAGCTTTTCTACGTTTAGCGGATATACCAGTACTAAGCCTTGGTGGGTCCTAGGCAACCGAAACTAAAAGCAAGTAATCTACCGTTATTAAATTCTTACGTTGGTTAGGGATCATGACATTTGAATCCAATTCCCCAGCATTCTGACAGGCATGCTAAACATGTAAAAATCGAAACGGAGTCGATAGTTCATTGGATAAAATAGACACAAGCTTCTTAGATGGTCTGGTTGACCGCGACGATAATGACTGATCCCATGAGTAGGACTCATAAGAGCTCATTCAGTGCAGTATAGCCCACCAACCAAGATCTTGTGCCGACGTGTGGTAGACTCAGTTGCCCCGTCACCAGTTGCTAGAATAATAGTAAAAATGATGATAATAATAATAATAACTCAAGGTAAACAGGAGAGAAATGAGTGTTCGGTGAAACAGATAAGGGATGGAAATTAGAGACAGACAGGAGCGTCACTGACTCAACGATAACGCATCCAGAACTGATGTGGGCGGTCTCAAAGACTCCGTCTGGGAAGACGACAAAACCAATCCGACTTGACTTTTCAATGCGTTTCTAGGTTCCTTCATCACGTCACTGAACGATTACCGTGGGGTTTTACCCAGTTAGGTCCGGTGTTGGCAGACAGCAAAAGCAGGGGTACTCAACTAGAAGGTATGCGGGACACATGGCCGAGCCAATGGAGGCACTCGAACGAGGGTGTATAGGATTAGCTACCAAACAATAGGTGGGATTTAGGTAGGGGCCAGATATGGCTAGAAAAAGAATGCAACCATAAAGGCCGACTAAGGGTGAAAACATTTAATCATTTCTCAAAGTTCCATGAAGTCGAAACAGCCAATATTTCCACGCAAAACTTGGGAGCAGAAGACCGCTACAAGTGGTGATGAAGAATAACGATACGAGTCATTGGATAAAGAGAGAGAAGTGCGCAAATTATGCGCCCGGTCAGAAGGAAGCCGCGCACGAAAAAATCTTGGGTCATTGCACCAAGTAGTGGGTTAAACCAATGGAAAAAGGTGAACTCACTGGTTTGCGCCAAAGGTGAACACACCCCCGTCATGAGTAAGAGCGACAGTGTGCGACTCACCACAGTCGACGAACACAACGTGGAGACCTTTGAGTGCGCGGACTAATGTAGGCACGATGGTGGAATGTTGATGAGCTATCTCGAGTGATGAGCGCGAAGTCAGACTGACCGCGGGAGTTGCGGCAGCGCTTGATTCCGTGGGAGACAATCCGAGCTGGCCGTATTTGTTTCCGCCCCAAACATACATGCTTCCGCTGATAGTGAGTGCAACACTGTGCATTCCGCCCGCGCAGATACAGCGGATGGGCAAACCGCTTAGGTACATTATCTGCTGGGGAACTGGGATCGGATTGTCCGAACGGAACCCAAGTCCCAACTGACCCCAGATGTTCGAGCCAAACGCGAACACCAGTGAAGCGTCGGTCAGGGCAAGACTGTGCTCCAAGCCGAGACTAACCTGTAAAAATGGGCGGGAGAAGACGTCGCAATAGGTGAGTTGTGAAAACGGGAAAATCTTCACCAAATTAATGCGGTCGCTAGTCTTAATGAGAGGCAGAAGGCTTGGAGCACATGGTTAGACAAAGTATACCTGCACGACGCGATGTTCTGACAAGGATCGAACCATCTTGACTGAGGAATCGTCTCCTTCTCGGCCTAGCTGACCATTGGAATTACAGCCCCAAGTAAAGAGTCGACCAGTGTAGCTGATAGCTGCGTTGTGATATGCTCCACATGCGACTTCTATGATAGTCTGGTTCTCCAGAGCGGTTATCTAAATGGGCAAAAACAAACGGAGGACTGGTGAGCGAATGATGGATGCAGTATGTAAGCAATCGTGAATACAGATGGTGGGGGAGCAAAATGTTACCACATGCAAGTACAATTAGTTACCTACCCAAGGCAATGTGCAGTGTACCTAGCGCCTGCTGAAAAGTCTGCTGTGAAGCAACCATAAACGTCCATGAGGACAGAGTGAAACTTTCAGTCAATCGGAAGTTGATGGCTCTGGAAACGCACTATGATCCATCACCGTCGAGGGAAAAACGATGGCAGCTCAACCAACGGCGACTGCGTTGTGCACTACGGACTCAGTTTTATTGACCATCTATACTATCTCACCGTCATGTTGTGAGAAGCACGGTAATCGATGGTGAGGCGAAGGGACAAGGAAGTGAGGAACTGATTGACCATGTAGAAAGCTTCCCTAGAATCATGGGTATCCCCAGGAACATTGGAGTGCGATAAGTGTCAAGCCACCGTAGTGAGGAACCATTGGAAAGGGGTAATACAAACACCCGGTAATGTTCCATCAGGGATGGGACCACATTTCTGACACATGAATAGTGAAGAACGAAATAGTGAAGTAAGCGGATAGAAATGGTAAGTTAGCCTTGATGGTTGGCAGAGTGCAGGTGACAGTCTCGGTCTGCTCGGTTTTGAATTGAGGCATCGGCAGTAAGACGGAAAGTGGCATTGACGCTTCGCTTTCACGCGACCTGCGCCAGTCAAGCGTGGGTTAAATATGCTGTGGACGTCGCCCGCACCTACGGGCTGTGGAATTACAACAGAAACACAATGATCGACTTATTACGCTCCTGTTGACGATACGATACAGGTGACACCGCAGAAATGTTGTTGATTCCAGCCCAACCAACTCCCAAAACCAGAAGATGAAAGTTTTGATAACATGCTTTAACATGAACAACGAGGTACTGCATTACCTTCCAGTAAAACGGCTCTAAATATATCGCTGAGTGTGCGATTCTACCGAATATTTGCTCGCTACTAAAAAACACTAGGGGTTGTCATTTGCATACATTGGCCGGTTTAGGATGCTCGCTTATTTCTTGCGTGCCCTAATTTCCGACACAGCACCCGCCGGAGGGTGACTTGGCACGCACCAGCTTCGAACCAGCCTTGGAAGCAAATCGATCATATTGCGATAACTTACCGCTTGAGAGGCTGCGTCCAGAACTGTCGCTCGATTTGGAACACATGAACACAGACCATGCATTCGTATGTGCTGACCCGCTGATGCGTTTTGGCGGACGCCCACGACGACGCCGTGAGCACATTGTCACCAGCCAAATGACGAAGCCTGCTGTTGTTTATGCCTATCAAAGTACGCTGACATGCAAGCTGAGCAAGCGTTCGCTGGATACATTTGAAGCTCACTGGTTTTATGTCCACCAGACCTTAACAGCAGCAGGGAAATTCTCATGTGGTACGTCCAATAGCCAACATGAACATTGGGTCTCTTCGCAGTCTCTGGAACTTATCGATGTTCGCCAACACATTCCGGCTGAAAGCGAACACAATGAGACTCGCAGAAAACTCCGGGCTAGCCTGAAGAGAGACCGCGAATGCTGGTGGTCTCCTCGGGTAACAGAGATGGAAACAGCCACTGGCCTTGGCAACCATCGTAAGTTATTCCGGCTGGTACGGGAAACGGGCAGCAGGGAGCTGGTGTTAGTTAAACAATGCGTAAAGAGAGTGAACATCCCATCCATAACTTGTCAAAACGTTTGGAGCGTTGAGCTAAGCACTTTTAAAGATAATTTAGTCCGTTGGAATTGTCAGATTTCTCGTGGGCCACTGATCGACCTGCTCTGTGGGCTGTCCCTTTGGATCCGCCCTCTCGTTCAGAAGTCGAAAGAGATCGGACTGTTGAAATAAAACAAAGCCACGGGACCAGATGATCTTCCTCCAGCCCTCTTCCAATTCGGGGAACCTGCTCTTGTGGATGATTTACAGGAGTTACTAGTGAACCTGTGGGAGCAGGAAACTGTCCCAACCGACTGGAACCGCTCTGTCACAGTCCACATTTTCAAGGGACGCTCACGATCGGAATGCGGCAACCATAGAGGAATCGGTCTGATCTCCATCGCCTCCAAATTGCTTGCCTCTGTCATCCTTCACAGACTGACTGGCACTCGTGAAAGCCAGATTCGTAAAGGGCAAGCCGGGTTTCCTCGAGGTCGTGGCTGCATTCACCACATATTCACTTTGCGTCAGTTGTTGGAGCACTGCCACATATATTGGCGGCCCACCGTTGTCGTGTTCCTCGATATCAAAGGCGCATTCGATTCAATATCTCCAGCGGTGTGAGAGAAGGATGCCCGCGTCACTTTTCAACTTCGCTATTGACGAAATCATGGGAATCGCATTCACAGAACACGACTTAGGTGTGGATCCCCTTCCAAGAAAACGACTTCTAGAGTTGAAATATGCTGACGATATTGCCCTAATCTGTGACAGCTCCCAGACGTGCCAAGCTGCACTGGAGAGATTAGCACTGGCTGTCTGTCACTTCGGGCTATGCTTCGCACCCTCAAAGTGCAAAGCGTTCCTCCAAGATTGGCCTTGACCGCCTCCTGCGCGGACCCTTGGTGAGGATCAGCTAGAAGTTGATCAAAAGTTAAAATGCCTAGGTAGTTTTATCAGCGTCCGTGAGATTAAAGACGAGGTCACAAACCGCATAGCAAAAGCTCGAGCCGCATTTGCTAACGTTTGCCACTTGTGGCGCTGGCACGAAATCACTCTCTTCCTGAAGGGTAGAGTGTACAATGCAGCGGTACGTTCGACCCTACTGTACGATTGTGAAACCTGGCCACTTAGATCAGCGGACATAAAGAGGCCAGTTGCGTTCGACCACCGGTGCCTTCGCAAATTGGCTCATCTGGTGGGAACACCGAGTGAGCAACGAGCGTGTTCGACGCTTTGTCTACGGCGCAGGAATAGGAAATGAACCGCTCAGCACCGTCATTTCCCGCACCAGGATCCGATGGCTCGGCCACGTGTTATGCATGCCAGCCCACCGACTCCCGCGACGGGCGTTGTTTGCGCGTCAGGGTGTGGATAGAAGGAGAGGAGGCCAAGCGATGACTTAGTCGAAAGGAATGAAGGCGTTCACTTCGAAGCTGGCCTCGGTTGGAGCGTCTCGGCTCCCTGGTTGGGTCCGAAAGACGATGAACACGTTTGGCTGGATACACTTGCTGACATGGCTAGGAGCCAACCTCAATGGCGTTCGTGCTGCGAGTTTCTTTGTCCCAACCATCCCTATTAGTATCCCCTCCAACTAGGATCTCACTACTTAGCCTTAGATAGTTTTGCATAGTGGCCGGCTGGTAGCTTACCGGAACGATGCCCATTCGTTACCAGTAGCTCAGCTGGCTTGCATCCGTTGCATTTTCCAGATTTTTCCTTTTATGTATTGCGGCACAGCAGTTGAGGTGTTTCCCACCACTAGCTAATGCGTATAAGGATGATGATGATGGCCGGGTTTAGTAGACGTCCTTCGAGTGAATGGTTCAGGCCGCCATGCGTTCTGATTGGTTGGTTATGGCCGCCACACGTCTTCATTGGTCGGTACCCGTCTAACCAACGCCATGCCTTGATAATCTGAATTCGTAGTGAAAATTCAACTATGGAATGTGCCTTGACAATACACGAGCGACTTTTCTAAACACGATATGATTCAAAAAAGAACACAGTATACGGTTCAGGTCAAAAAGGTCAGTTTATTGTAGAAAGGTGGCACAAGTAGTTGAAACTTACACGACCGAGGCCGGAGATATTCTCACCACGACCGAGCTGGCCGTATTCATTACCCCCGCAACTGTACACTTCCCCGTCAGTAGTAAGAATGAGAGTATGCTTATAGCCACAAGCAATGCGGATAACAGAACCAGAGGCTGGTGCCAACACCAACCTTGGCACAGTAACATGCTGACACTCTGGATCTTGGTCACTTAATTGATTATCTTCACAAGCGCCCCAACCGAACACATCATAGGTAGAAGTCGTGTACATCTGTCACCGGAACAAATACAGCGGTTGCTTTCGGATCATGTAACAAACTACAAAGAGTATAGAGAAGACAGTGGTGAGTGCATACTAGCAAAGATGATTGGGCAACGTATTAGTACATGCAATGTAATAGGGATGTGATCGCTACGTAGACAAGGATATGGGGGGTATTGCATGAATGGATACAGCAGACAAATCTATCCATCGGGTCAGAACATTGGAAAACAAACCGATGGAAAGAGAAATTCATAATGGTGAGTGGAACGACAAGTGAGGAACCAACGTAGCTTAGGATCCTATTAGTTCAGTACAGTTCTGTTGAACAACTATGAACCGAGCGCCGGTGGATTAAGATCGGCGGACATAAAGAGGCTAGTTACGTTCGATCATCGGTGCCTTCGCAGTTTGGCTCACATCTGGTGGGAACACCGCGTGAGTAACGAGCGTGTTCGACGCCTTGTTTACGGCATAGGAAAAAGAACTGAACCGCTCCGCACCGCCACTTCACGCACCAGGCTCCGATGGTTGGGCCACGTGTTGCGCATGCCAGCACACTGACTTCCACGAAGTGCGTTGTTTGCTCGCCGGGGATGTGGATGGAAGAAGAGGAGGGGTGGCCAAGCGATGACTTGGTCCAGGGGAATGAAGGCCCTCACTTCGGGGCTGGCCTCGGTTGGAGCGTCTCGGCTTCCTGGTTGGGGTCCAAAAGATGATGAACATGTTTGGCTGGATACACTTGCTGACCTGGCAAGGAGCCGACCTCAGTGGCGTTCGTGCTGTGAGTTTCTTTGTCCCTCCCCATCCCTTTTAGCCCCACACTCCAACCACGATCTCATTTCGTAGTGTAATATAATTTTACATAATAATTGTTCTTTTTGCCTAATAGCCGGCTGGTAGCTTACCGGAACGATGCCCATCCGTTGCTGGTAGCTCAGCTGGCATGCAACTGTTGTACTTATTTACCTTTTCCTTATGTATTGCGGCACAGTAGCTGAGGTGCTTGCAACTTCTAGCTGACGCGTATAATGATGATGGATTAAGTTGCCACAACTCGTTGCCAAAATAACAATAAATAGCAATGGTGAGATATTGGGGTTGAATTAAAATAGAATGCAAAGAAAATGGAAGCAAGAAGGAAGTGCGTTAACCTAATCAGAATGGAATGAAAATGAACGACCGGATGCAAGAAAGCGAATGCAAGAACACCAGACCGCTCAAATGCGCCATGTCTGGTACGGTCTCTAACCATTGGTGGATCACCCCGAGGCGCCCACCAACGAAGACTGCACGCACCGGCCTGATCAAGTCTCACAGTCAATTTCTTCATGCCTCTATTCCACGTCATGGACGGGTGACTTCGCGGTTTCGCCCAAATTGGTGCAGCCACGGCGGGTAATGCACGCCGAGGAAGCCGGTCAACGGGCATAAGGAGGACATGGCTTAGCCAACGTAAGTGATTAAGATTTAGCAAACACTCGAGTAAGGAATGAGAAGGTTCCTTGCCAAAAAGCAACGAATGGACCTAAGCAATGACAACCCGGTTTTCCCACCAAACACCAGCAATACTCCGCAATCACCGGTGTTCAAACACAGACAAGCGTTTAATGTCTTCACTGCGAACTGCTAATGCTCTGGTCCATACAGTAACGCAGGGCTCACCGCAGTGTTATACAACTTACTTTTCATTGACAGGCTGATATCCCGCCGTCTCCATAGATGGTTGAGTCTCTGGAAAGCCACACGAACCTTGCTGATACATGAAGTGATGTGACCACCAGAGGTGACACAGCTACCAAGACAAGTAAACCGATCCACCACTTCCAGTGGCTGTGCCGTGATAGCTAGAAACGGAGGTGTGTCGATCCAGGCCTGCAGTAGTACTTTGCACTTTGAAGGTGTAAAACACATGCCGGGGTATGCAGCACAACGCGTCAGTTTATCCAGCAGTGTTTGCATAGCCACTGCGTCAAACCTAGGAAGAGCTATGCCATTTCCATACTTCAGGTTTGCCAGTCGGTCACCTGGCAGAATTTAAACTCCGATAAAGCCTGAAAGAACAGAGTCACTCGTAATTATTTCGATAACAAAGTTGAGGAGGAAATGAGACAGGACAACCCTGGCGAACCCCACATGTCGTGGAGAAATCAAGACAATTTCCCGTAGATTTTTACACAGTTTCGGGAATCACGGTAGAGACCACATAATGGAGAAGAAACTTAACCAGCGCACTCTTCGTGGATAGGCAGTGCCATAAGCAGGAGCGGTCAACAAAGTCGAAAGCGGCTTTCAAGTTAGGGAAAATCATCATAGTCGGTCGTCTGTTTGTCTCTGCTCTAAAATTTGGCGAAAAGTAAATATGTGGTCAATCTAACCACTGAGGTTAGCTTCGGTCCTCACGAGGACCAGTAAGTCGTCGAATAATGAGGTAACAGTAATAAGGCTAGTGCCTTGACGATTTGCGCATAATGTACGCTGACGCTTCTGAAGACGGGCACAACAGTTAACAGTGAAGGAACTTCCTTAATGTTCTTAATCGTGTTAAATAGAGGAGCAAGTTTAGTCCACAAAGAGTCACCACCAACTTTCAGAAAAGATGGAAGAAGGTCATCGGGTCCAGGAGCCGTGTTTCGTTTCGACAAGGAAATCTCAAGTCGAATTGCTCTCAAGGTGGGAGGTGTGACATCTACTTCCCACGTCAGGTCAAATGATTCGGCAAACGACAGTGTCGCAGCGGGCCTGTCGAATTGCTCTTCGTAATGTTCCACCCAACGAGCTACTCGACGTGACTGAGAGTGGGTCAACCGTTCGTTTGCTCAGCTGATGGGTTTCTGGGACCCGTGTTCCGGAAAATCTAGTATAACTCTCGGCTGTTCCCAATAACACTGGCTTTCTCCAGCTCACGGGCCCTTGCCATGCATTAACGTTCTCCATCAATTCGAAGACTTCTTGTCAGACGCCGTTTCAAGGAATTACGGATCCGAAGAAAATCAGTGCCCAAGGAAACCTGTTTCCGTGCTTCGATCAAACTTGTCGGTGCCTCAGAGATCTAGTCACAGTTACGACATCTCAAGTTGGGTGTACAGCAGGTGCCAAAGGCACTCTTTATGATCTATTTAAAAGGATCCCAGTCAGCGTTCGGCTCACTAACATCATTTACCACCGACAATTAGTGGGCCAATTAGCCATGATATTGTTAAATTGCACAATGCAAGTTCAAGTTACAGTTAAGACTAGAAGATAGGCGCTTCTTTGAAGTGGAGTGAGCGCCAAACGTGCGCGCAATAGAGCATGGTCAGAATCCAGACACGTGCTCCAAATTGACTGCCAGTCTTGAACTGATGTGCGCAATCTGTAGCTGATGGCAACGTAGTCAATTGGAGTTCAGGCTATTGAAAAATACGGTGGAAGCCAGTTAACGCGGAGTGAAGGTTTGTGCTGAAAAGCAGTGTTGCTAAGACAAAGGTTGTGGTCGGCACAGTTGAAGGAATCGATCACTATTATCTGTTCGGCATGCATCGACTCCGAAGCGGCCTCCGGTGTGTTGTTCAGAGTAGGAAAGACAAACTTGGGAATTCAGGTCACCAGCAACAACCACGATGTCAGTACTCTTTGCCATGTGAAGAGACGAGACCAATTTATATATGGTTGGCGGCATCCCGTTTCGGATTTGCCTGTCACTGTGGTCAGCCACAAGACGCCTGAGCCCACAGAGAGACCATGGGTGGCTTGTGCTGCACCACGCACAGTTGCAGGCACACATCCCATATCCAGTGTAAACCTGAATCAATAAGACCGGGAGGTATGTGGATAGGAGCCACTTTTCATCGACGGAGCCGGGCCACACTCATTCACAGGCAAACACAAGCACGCTGTATTTAGGAATCAAGCGCACACAAGGCGGTGGCTGGACCGTAGTTCACTTCACACTGAGTCCATGGAACCACTTTCTGATCCTAACACAGCCACAAAGACCGTGCACCCCGTCCCCTCCAGCAACGATTACCTGTCTCCTGGAGCTAATATTGACGAGGTAGTGGGTAATAGACAGGCAGGCATCTTGTCAACATGCACATTAAACGCAGGCACACCGGGGATATCAAGCAACAGAAAATCACTTGAAACGATAAGAGGAAATAAAACAAATCAGATAATATATACAGATAAAGCGGCATAACTCTTCATTAAACGGGCGTATAAAATTAATTGGTTACGAACTAATCCGCGATAAGCTCAAGACGTAAGAATATATATTTCAAAAAATACCACAAGCGCAAAAATGTTATCGAAGTTAACTACAATCAGCTTAAGCGACGTGTGCAAGTTTACAGAAGATAGTACAGGTAGACATTAATATAAGAAAGAAAGGCGTTAGGATAAAATTGCAAAACCACCACCTGAATTCAAGACTTAGCACGCAAGCACACGGTTAGTAAATCGAATGCAGCGTACCTACAAACGTTGCGCCGGTTCTGCCTAAGTTCTCTGCAGGACCCGTCGTCGCTTTGGTGGTGGTCACGAGTGGCCTCGCTCATGGCTCACTAGGCCTGCCTAACTCAGACACTCGCGACCGTATGTGCTACAGCGCCATGCGTTCGATGTCGATGAAGTATAACCCATCGGCGCCTGTCGCTTCTTCTCTGCATGAACGAGGGATTTCTCTTGTATCTCGGCAACGGCCTTCGTGATCAGATCGCGCCATGCATGCCGATCAACCGCCTACGATTCCCATGACCTGCAAACAATATTAGAACGTGAGAGGCACACTTTGATCATGTCCTGATAACATAAGTTTGGTTTCGCCACATGCCGTTTCCCAATATTCAGCTGACCCTCTAATAGCTGTTTCGGTATCCGCGTCAAATCCATACGACTCAAATGACCGAGCCACCTCAGGTGTCTCAGCAAAAGTATGCACTCCACTGCATACATTCCACCTTGTCGCAACACTTCCGTGTCCGCAACTCTGTTTCCCACTCCGATGCGCAAAATCCGTCGCAAAAGCT